TAATTATATAATGGTTAATATCGATTCAAAATTAATGGTTTTGCATTGGGTTTTGCATTTTAGGATGATTTTAATAAGGGGGCCCTCCTACGAATCTGCTATAGCACTAATAGATAATGAACTAGAAAAAGATGCTGATAAGTTGCGACCAACCATTCCGAACAATGAATCTGATTCTGAGCCACTAGCATGAACAAATTTGATAATATTATCACAAGAAGAGATGAATAAATTGTTCAGTGCTACTTATTATTAGTAGTGGATTTCTTTTTTTCAACTTTTTTTGTTTTTTTTTTTTTTTTTTGTTTTTTTACTTGTTTTTTTTTTTTTCATTTTTTGTACTAAACATTGTAGTATTTTATTATATGTAATATTGCTATTGTAATAATAAATATATATTAATAAAATTGCTTTTAATAAATTTGATATTTTGCTTTAGAATTTATTATGCATATTGTATAAAATTTGACTTGCAAGTGAATTGTATAGTTATTGTATAGTATGCACTTTATAGATATATAATAGATATTTAATGGGTTGCCGTGAATATCATGCAAAATCACAGGCAATTATTTATTATACGTCATCACGGCTGCGCTGTGATGACGTATAATAAATAATTGCTCGTGATTTTGCATGATATTTATGCCAACCCATTAAATATCTGTTTTATCTCCTGGACTTTAACGCCCTGTGATTCTTTTACTGATATTTTTACTTTTTTATTCTTCATACAAAAAAAAAATACCAAACCCGAAAAAAAAGAAGAACGTTCAAAACACACCAGTTCCAATTTTTACCACTGCACTTAATTATGTTTCAGAAAATACTTCTGAAGAAAGTGTAGAAATAAGTGCACCAAGATCTAAAATAGCACAAAAATTAGACTTTTATAGAAAAAAAGCTGCAGTACCAAATACGGTAAAAGCTATACAAAACTGGATGAAGAAGTTTAATGAATTTCATTGTTCTTATAATTATGTAATACCAATTGAAGCTATTGAAGATCCCTATTTAATAGAGCAACAAATATGTGAATATATTGCACAAATGTCCAAAAAAGATAGAAGTGAATACAAAGCTAAGACAATTAAACAAGCTATTGATAGAATAAATAGATTTATTAGCAAAAATAGTGCAATTCATAGTTTTAATTTACATGACAAGTATCAGTTTCTAGACTTACATGATATTTTAAATAGTAAAATGAAAGATTTACAGGAAAAAGGATTAGAAGAAAAGGAAAAATCAATAGCTTTAACGGCCCAACAAGTTAAAGAAATTCTTAGTGATAAATTTTTAGACCCTACAACACCACAAGGTCTATTATATGGAGTTTTTTTTCGTAATGCAACAATTTTTGCATATCGAGGTGGTGAGCACTATTCGCTTCAAATTAACTAGTTTCAAATTCAGCCTGATAGGAGTATTTTATTTTATCGATATTGTAGTAAGAATAATCAATAAGGAATTGAAGAAGAAAATGCACATTGTATCCAATTACCACCTAATCCATCTAGTATTTCTGGGCCGCTA